GGAGTGGCTTGGCCCAGCAGCCTCCAGAGCTTGACTCTTGGCAACAAGTTCAACCAGAGTTTGCAAGAAGTGGCTTGGCCCAGCAGCCTGCAGAGCTTGACGTTTGGCGATTATTTTGATCAGAGTTTGGAGGGAGTGGCTTGGCCCAGCAGCCTCCAAAGCTTGACGTTTGGCTACAATTTCAACCAACATCTGGATGGAGTGGCTTGGCCCAGCAGTCTTCAGAGCTTGACTCTTGGCAACAGATTCAACATGAGTTTGCAGGAAGTGGCTTGGCCCAGCAGCCTGCAGAACTTGACATTTGGCTTTGATTTTAATCAGAGTCTGGAGGGAGTTTCTTGGCCCAGCAACCTGCAGAGCTTGACGTTTGGCGATGATTTCAACCAGAGTTTGGAGGGAGTGGCTTGGCCGATCAGCCTCCAAAGTTTGTTTTTTGGCAACCATTTCAACCAGAGCTTGGACTGAGTGGCTTGGCCGAGCAGGCTTCAAATCATTACTTTTGTTCAGTGGTTCGAGTGCCTTAAGCAAGCAACTTTGCCCAGCAGCCTGCAGTGTTTGAGGATCGGCGCCGGTTTCGATAGACTGGAGGATATCGTTCTGCCCAGGGGTTTGCAAATGTTTGAATACAATTTTTGGGGAAGATTCACTCATGGCCACTGCATGATCTCTGCGTCGAGCGAAATAGAAAGCTGCGAACTCTCGGGCAAGCTCTGTGCATCTTGGCGATGGTAGGGACCCAGAAAACTCCACCTCGAAGTCCAAAGACGATATTTTTCTCCAACGGCGTGCTGTTGAGGCTCTCTCTCTCTCTCTCTCTTAGGAAAAAAGAAGCACCGCCCCCTGTTGTCCGGGTCTGTTCCAGCCTTGTCTGGGTCTATCTGTGCTGCTTGGCGACGTAGCTATTGCCGGGCGGCCTATTAAGACGTCGTCCGTGTTTGGATGTGTTTTGCGAACCACATGCTGTTCCCAAACAGCTGGACGCCATAGGAATATACTTTCGGGTACGTGTTGACCGTTTGCCATCGTAAAACGATGCACGAACGACGCACCAAAGAGATCCTGAAACGAAACTGTTTGGAGTCAATTGACTGCAAACATGGTTTGGTCCTGCCAAGGCATTGGCAGAGACCCCTCTGATTTAGGACTTAGACACAACTCTGCCTATTGTGAAAGGAAAATCGACACAACTCCGTCTGCGCTTCGATGAGTACCGCAGGCGGACCGGATGCCTATCCTAAATGAACTGTACATACCTGGAGTTGCGTTTGCCTGGCCTTTTTCAGCCATTTTGCGAATATGCCGTAATAACCAAGGAATATGCCGTAAAATTCAGCGATTTGCAGTTTCAGGTATGGAATGGGCACCCAACAATCTTCATCCAACAATCTCCGGTACATTTCTCGAAATGACGAGAGACGGTACATGTGAGGGATGGGCATTCCAGTTTCTTTTTGCACTCATTGAGGACAGCGTTGTCTCAGCGCCTCGAACGTTCGCCGTGCAAAGCACTTGATCCATTTGGTGTTCATGGAACCTGAGCACCCCACTCTCCACCTTGGCAAAAGAATCATCTCCATGTCCACCCCTTTTTTTAAAGACATTGAAAGACTGGGAAAAGTGTTCACCCGGGCCCCCGGGGGTCTGAAATTGTAATTATCAATACGGGTCTTTCAACTGTCAACTTTTCTTTATCTTCCGAGTGGTTGAACCATGTCTTTTTCGAAGACTTCGGGGTGTCTTGGAGCTTTTCCTTCTTTGCCAAAGCTGTTTTGAGGCGACACCCCACGCCCGCGAGATCGCACCCTAAGGAGCAAGTCCTCGAAGATGGCGTCCTTCAGCAGTGGGATCATGCTCTCCAGGAAGGGACTGAAGTTTCGGGCATTGGGGTGCTGAAATAGATCGAGCGACCGACCTGCCAGCGAAAAACCCCCCTGGAACGGAGAATTGATCGGACTTGCACCCCTCCACTCGGTTGAGAAGAGTGATACCCTTTGAGAAGAGGTGGTTGCGAATAGAGATTTTAAGCCCGTGGAGTGCCCAAACGAAGGCACTGAAAGCACCACCGAAGGGCTATCCTCACCCAGAGTTCGGGTTAGATTCCACGTCCGATTCTCTCCACCTTGGGGGTTGGATGGGCATCGTCGGCATCGCCTCAAAGGACAGCCCATCCCCAGGTTCGGCACTCCATGGAACTGGGACATGTTTATAGGGTCTGTCCTATTACTTGTAACAGTCAGTCAACAATTCAAAACTTCTTGGACAATTCCTTTGCTAACCATCATCATCCACTGTTACAGCTATTAGGATAGACCCGATAGACTTCAGCTCTTCAGAATCCTCAGATGCGCCGATGGCATCGTAAAAACAGACGACTCTTCCCACTCTCCTTCATTGGCACTCCCTCGACGACCACTGTTTTTCAGCGATCGCTGGGACCCGATGTTTCACTTGTTTCTTGGTTCTTTTCGCAGCAATCTCACCACCTGAACCTTCATGTTGGGGTGCGAAAAATGGAGATCCACAAGTAGTGGTAGACTAGTCGGAGACGCCTTTGAAGGTGCTCACCGAAGAACGATTCTTAGATCCGGAATCCTTGGAGCCTCCAGCTTTAATGACTATAGCCAAACTTCCAAACCCTTATCCCTCAATATCCTTTATATCTATTTTTTCATCTTGACCTTTTTGGAATTGGAACATTTGGGACACTCTTGACACCGCACACCTCACCCGCGTCCCAACCCGCGTCCGAGGAGCGAGGCGCAGCGCCAGAAGGGCGACGAGCTGCGGATGCGGGCGGCGGCTCGGCGGCGGAGCGGCGGTGGGGTGGGGTTCGCCGCGGTCGACACGGAGGAAACGGGGGGGTTTGAAGTGGGGAGTGAAGTGGGTGGTTTGGAGATTGGCAACACGGAGGAAAGCACTCGAGTTGGGAGGATGGGTTTAAAGGAGAGGAGTTTGGAGACTCTTTCTACATTGTTTCAACATCATTTTGAGAATTGGTTGAATGATTTCTTTTGGTCCACAGCTTTCGACTCTGAGCTGCGTGGCCCTAGAATCGGCTTCCAACACGGTGTGGCCCCGTACGTGCGCCGGACATTCCCGGCCCAGCCGTCCCCGAGGCTGGCATTGATCCGACCAAGATCGACGAGCAATGGCTCGGAGAGGCGCTAGTCTTTGGAGAAAAAGGAGGGGCCGGGGCCAATGACCAGAGTTTTCTTTTTTTTACTTTTCGTTCTTGTTTTATGAAAAATCTGGCTTGGAATGAAGATATCTCAGAGTTTGGACGTGATTTTTCTTGTGAAAGGCATCCCCCTCCACAGTTTTTGAGCGCTCAATCATCTTTGGTCCACCCACCTATTTCTCTCCCCATCTGGGCTGAGCAATTCGGACCACACCTTGGGACTGGCTGCTCCCTCCGCGCGTCCACGGGGTGAACGCGGCGCGCGGGAACCGGCGCGCTTCGCAGCGCGGCGCTTCGCAGCGCTGGCAGCGTGATGTGCAAAGAACCATGGCGGCTGGCAGGTGATGTCGAAGCGGCAGAAGAAGGAGGTAAAAGTGGATGAAGAGCCTTGGATGGAAGCCAACACCTGTCCACGCTGGACATGACACATGCGACCGGTGTGCACGAGTGGATGATGAAGTGGAGATGAGTCGATCTTCGGAAAAGCGAATGGCGGAGAGGCGGGATGGACAAGGGTAAAGCCATTCCCCTAAGAATCCCTCAGAATCCGAGTCCGGGCTCTCCATGGGCAGGGGTCGGACCCGACACTATAGCAGGGGGAAAAAGGTTCTGAAGGGTTTTTGGACCATATTCCACCCTGGCCGTTTGGGTCTCATCTTCCACATGGTGTTTGCTTCTTTCTGTTTTTTCCTCAGACCTTCATATACATATATATATATTACATATATATATATATATCTGTTGGTCAGATGCATTGAACATGTCGACGGTGCTCGGTGTCAAACTTCTTTCCGAGCACCACCGCATCCGGTCGTTCGCCTGGTCGGGGGGGACCGTGGGACCGTCCTTGCTCCGAACTCGGCGCGAACGGCGGGACGATGGACGCGAAGCAACCACAAGCACCTCACGTTCGGGGGGTGGTGAATGGACACCCCGAATCACCTTGGAAAGCGTGGGTCTAGAGTCTACAGTACATCTATCGTCTCCAAAAGCCCTCGGGCCCTCGGGTCTCACTGGAGTGGGACCCTGTAAGACACGCCCCGCGTCGCGCCTTGAAACGACCGCGTCGCGCCGCGAGGTCCCGTGGTTTTTGCCCAAAACAGGGAACCAGACTCAGGAGATGGAGAAATTGAAGCGCCTGGCCGCGGAGCTGCCCATGGAGAAGAGCGAGGCGAAGAAAGGGAAGCTCGTCCGACGACGGTGGATGGCTCTCACGTCAACAGGGGTTTTCCCGGATTCTCCACGACGTGCGACGTTTGGATGTTCAATGCTTTACCTAGGCACCGGACCGGAGCTAGGGCGGGCTGAGGTTTGGAGTTTCAGTGGTTCTTTCTGGACTCGATCGGTTTTTTCAACCACCAAGCAGATCAATCTCGCAATTGCCCCACAGTCACCAAAGAATCCTCCAAACTTATTTACAGTTGGTTTCTTGATCCGCCTGTTCGTGTCTTGCAACTTGGATATCACATGTCCCGTGTTACAGGTGCACCCATTACGAGCAACGTGTTTCCGACGTCGACGCCTCCACCTGGTACCAGTCGATTGAACGAACCCCTTAAAGGATCGGACATGCGGCGGAAGCATCTTCGGCATGGCGAAGAGAAAACTCCAGCAAGAACAGCATCATACCCCCTTTTTCTTTTCCCGAAGGGTTGATGGTTTCGTTCGCTTTTGTTCAACCCCACCAGATATTGTATAGATCTTCCAACGACATGCCAAATGTCTGCCTTTGGGCTGGTTTTATGGATGAAAAGGTAGAACTTTGGCATAAGATCTGTGTCTGGCTGTTTGCCTGTTGAAGAGTGGTGGCCTGGGTGTTTCACCAGGCTGTTTCCACAGATTCTGAGACACTTTCACGATGCGCCCAAACCTTGGCACCACCAACTGTTTCGTTTGACGTCGAAACCTGATCCTTGACCCCCCGCCATTTGCGGCCCCGCACAGTGCTCCAGGTGGTGAGCAAGAAACCCGAGCATCGGCTCACGTGGCTCCACAAGGTTGGCCTCCGGTCCACCGCTCCGCAGAGCGTCGTGGCGGGGGGGTTCGGTGAGGGGAAGGTGTTGCGGGCGGTTCCGCGCGGCAGCGATGGTTTTGGCAGGGCTGGGAGTCGGGAGAGAATGGAAATCCAGGAAAGAATCAAGGACCCTCAGTTCGGTGAAGGTTTGGTTCGGATCCAAACCCCTGCGTTCTGCAGGGTCCAAACCCTCCAGAAGTGGTCGGGTCCAATGATTCTTAGGGTGTAATTGTTTGTATACCAGGACACCCGGGCCAGGGGCGTTGAACTTGATAGCCCCGAAGATAAGAGGTGATTCGGTGTGCTTCCAAACCACCCAACTCCCGTGGGTCCTAGTAGTGTTTTTGTATGAGCCCCTCCCATATTTCTGGTCCGTTTCTCATCAGCCTGTCAGGGGTTGGACAGCAGCAACGTCTCCGGTCGCGCCCGCCGTCTCCGCCGGAGACGCGGGTGGAGGTCTCCGATCGCGACCACCGGGGTTTCCTTCTGGTGCGACCGGTCGAGCCGGGACGCGAGCTGGGACGGCGCCCCCGGAGGCCTTGGTCCTGGCGGCCAAGGGCCGAATCCCTGCGCCACAGATCTACGGCATCGCCCGGGGACCCGACCCCGAGCCGCTCGGGCGCGCGCGCGCGCGGGGCTTGCGGGGAAGAGAAGGCCAACGAACCAAGGGGCCGTGTGCCGGAAGATCAATGCTGGAGTGCAGAGCGTTTGGTGTTCTTTTTTTTTTTTTTCGGTAGGTCATGTCGTGTTGTTTCTTGCTGATGATGTTTTTGGTGACTTCCAGACGGATTCGAAGGGTTTGGAGTCAACGGTCCTCGGTTCTGCTTCCAAAATCACTCGTAGCATCCGGGCGGCGCTCGGACACCAACGTGTGGCTTGGCTGCCTGGCCTTTTTGGCGAGTCCCATAGACACCGACTGCTCGCAGGGAGCTTTGACCAACAGATTCAATGTTCAGGGCAGGTCTGGTTTTCTTCAGTGTTTCATTCTGAAGTGTGGCGGAAACTGCCGAGCTTTGACCTCTGGTGGACCTGGGAAACACGTCTGCCCTGCTCAACTTCCTCGCCAAAAGACCAGTCTCCCATCCCTCGACTACACCCAAAACGACAACCACCTCTACCCCTAGCCTTCCAAGGTTTGTAAAACATGTCTGACCTGCCTGGAAAACCCAGTCCCAAACAGAAACAGTTCTGGATGTTTCCTCCTGATTGGACTTCCGCCGCTTCCAAAGGAAAAGGATCTCAAGCTGGCACCACATTGGAGCAAGCTGTTGTTTCTGGTTGGGACTGTGTTTCCAGGTGGCGTTGTAGTCCAAATATGTCTAAATTGTCAAAATCCTTAGTAGCACAATCATCGTTCAGGATTGGAACTCCATTCGGGTCTCGAAATCCCTTGTGTTGCCCGCGTTGAGCCGAGATCTCTTGGCTCTGCAGGGACTGGCCTATCATAGACGAATCAGTTGGGGTGGTTTCAGAAGCAGGCCTAGAACCTGAGTGACCGACCTGTAAAACGTCCACCATCGCCATCAACTACCCCAAATATGGTCAAACTTCCTATCAAATCAGAGGTCATGTTTGGGTTCTAGGGGTATATTTTGGCCCTGTCCTACATGTGTATAACAGTCGGTAAACAACCAAATCACTATTGTAGAGAGGTTGGCTAACCATCATCCACTGTTGCTGGTGGATAGACCCAAGGTATACCCTGCATAGTCCAACACCAGTCGTACCTCCGTCTCTCGAAGGCGTTAGGACACGAAGGACACGAAGGTGTTAGGCCTATACACAGGAGCACGTCACCCGGATACAGAAGGTGACCCGAGTCATTCGGAAGCTCCTTCACCTTGAGTGGTCGCCTCCAACAAATTCCTCGAACTGAACAAAAAGAGAGTCTCTACCAGGGCCCAAGGGGTGTCCAATTATAGCTCCTTAGAGGTTCTGGGACGTCCATGAACCACCCCTATCTGGGGGCCCTGGTATGCCAGTTCCAGTTCGGAGCTTCTTCTGAACTTCCTAACACGTCTCCGAGAGAGCCATGCCCCCCCCCCCCCCCCCTCCCGCACGGAGCCCGACGGAGCCCAGATGTCCTCTCCGCGGAGCCGCCGGGCACCGGCACCGGAGGTCCAATCCTCCAAGTTCACCTCCGGCGTGAGTAGCAAGGCGCCCGGGCCGACGCGTTCGGGGACCGTGGCGTCGGGGCCGAGGCGCGGCGTGTGGCGTCCCCGTGGAAGACGGACGGGGTGCGGTGATGGGAGACGGTGGGGCCGGGGCAGGGGAGATGAGGATCAGGGAGTCGAAACGTGGGAAATAGATCCAAGCGCGCTCGTGTCGTGTCTGGAGTCTTGAAGAGTTGTTTGGAAGAGCACGTTGAGAATGATATGTTTTTGGAGTGACATTGGAGCCAGGGACCACTGGAGTCCGTTTGGATATGTTTGGATGTTCTTCGTTTTTTTGCATGTTTTTCCCCTGATTTTGGGCGAAATGAGTCTCCCCCGCCTGACAACGCACATGGTACTGTACCGCCATTTTTGGGCAATAATTTGGTCCGTTGGGAGCACGGCGCCACGGAGACAAGCAGAACCAGGTAAGAATATCCCGCCGATAACAACCTGGTCGGACCGATTTCCATACACACTATGGCCCCGCAGCAACCACACCTCCGTATATTGGAAAATGATGGAAAATGTGCACGCAGCACCGAGCTTGTTTTTTGCAACTAGTTAACTGCTAGTTGAGTTTGTATTTTGGAATCTGCATGCTGCATTCTAGTTGAGTTTGCGAAGATTGTTGTTGATGCTTCGTTGCATGTAGCACACTGCAATCAAATCATGCTCGCACTCAAGTATTGTCATCTACATGCCTCCAACCTGCATTGGTTTCCGCACTCGCAATTGGAAGCTCTCACTTCATTGCCTTACTTGTTGCCCATAGCCTTACTTGTTGCCCGTTCGCACGCTCCTGTTCCTCTCATCCAACTCTTTGATTGCTGATACCACCGATTTGCAGTATCATGTGTTCATTCAAACTCTTCCTTTCCCTCAGCATTCTTCCCTGCAAGCTGTTTGGCTTTTCAATTGCTTTAGTAGAATTGTCTGTCTTGCTTACATACTTTTTTCGATACTCTCAAAGGTGTTTAAGCATTGAGCACCAAAAGGAAAGCTGCTTCAACCTTCAGAGGAACTTTCTAGGTCAAGTTGCTTTGTCTTGTTTAGCTGCTATTTTCTGAAATATGGCCTTCTTAAGAGCATCAAGATCAACATTAAGTAAAGGAAACCACAAGTAAAGA